ATATATATATATATATAATATGTAAAAAACAATCCAACTGTACCTTGCACACAGGCTCCAAATTTTCTAAACCGGGTGCATAGCGAGGGCTTGAACATCCATATAGTCAGATAGTATGGCTGCACTCACGGATTTTCCAGTAAAAAATAACTTTTATTTAAGTTCCCATAAAACAAATCGACGTTTCAGTCCATCTTGTGGACTTTCATCAGGATGAAAGTCCACAAGATGGACTGAAACGTCAATTTGTTTTATAGGAACTTAAATAAAAGTTATTTTTTTACTGGAAAATCCGTGAGTGCAGCCATACTATCTGAATATATATATATATATATATATATATAGTGGAAATCAATCAATAAATTAATTATCTTGCGTATTTGCCCTGGCCAAATTAAAGAAGTAATGCATGCACGCTCCTAAAGTAATTCACACCAGACACAAGTTTCAGGTTAATGAAAAACTTGAATGTTTATTCTGAGGGGACGGCATGTCCCTTATAAAGCAAAATTACATCATATGCATTGTCAGAGATAACATGAAATAATGCATCAATAATTGGTTAGGTGTAAAGTGGTTCATTTAGTGCTCTTCCTACCGGGTGTGATGTCACTGGTATCCTGGAGGTCTCCCCCAGATTCCAGCACCATCTTGTTAATGAGGGTGTTAGTCGATGTCAAAAAGGAAACTCCCTAGCGGCCATTTTAGGTAAATCACGTAGAAAGTTGAATAATGCTGATTGTAGTTATTCTGAGTAAATAGGCATTTTACTAACATGGATTGGGTTAATATTTTTGTCCACAACAGTCCCCCCTTAAAATGACTATTTACGAAAGAGAGAAGAGGACAGACAACTTCTAACTAACCTTAATGATGTCCCGAATTGGCTGCAGCTCATCTGTCTGAACACGCCTCGAACACTTCACTGCGTAGGTATCCCGCAGTGGCTAACCCACTACATCTCCTACGTCAGACTTCTGCACGTAGACACAGACGCTATCCCTATGCTGTCCCTGTATGAAGTAGTTGTCTGTTTGAGGTGGTGGGACTGAAGAGGTGTGTGTGTGGGGTGTCACAGTCCATGTCGTCCGCATCCTGATGTAGGAATGTAGGTGTAGTGCGGTCAGTAGTCTGTCCTACAGTCTTCTGTAAATATTCCTGCACACAGGGCATTACACAAGAAGTCGGGAAGATAAGTAGAACTACCACAGTAAGAACTGCCATACCTACTTGAAAGAGAGCTTTCTGCCATCCACTCATCCATCCAAACCATTTATCCCATAAATTGGGGACTCCAGAACTCCTCGTTAATTCGTCAGAAAGACTTTCCAGTTTCACTATAGCCAGGGTTACCTTACCGTTAGGGCCTGTGCTGTCTGGGATAAAGTTACAGCATGTCATAGTATCGGGGAGTATCTTACACACGCCCCCCTTTTCTGCTAGGATCATGTCTAAGGCCATTCGATTTTGAAATGTCATTTGGGAGGTAGTCTGTAGTTGTTCTGCCAAACCCTGGAGGGCATCTTTAGTATAATTGACAAATCGTTGTTGGTTATAATAGATATACTTGATCCAATTAACATTCTTGTTAGCGGTAATGAGTGGGATCAAGGATTCGAATCCTGCCGCCACCTCATCTCTGGCCTTGAACTCATTTGGTAAGGTAGAACGCATGAATGGCACTCTGAAAGCCAGAATGCTTAAAATGTCTCAAGAAACCAACCTCCAGGGATGTACCCTGGTACTCCAATATCATCGATATATATGTGTGGGTTGAAACTACCTCGAATGTGGGTTTCTCTTTTTACTCTAAGATACGTATGTGGTGAATCATGTGGGCCTTGGTGATTATCAGAAATTATATGTATGGGCATGATAACTTTAGATAGAGCACATTCTCCCCACCACAGGCCAGTCATTCTTGATCTAAGTTGCATGTCACCACATAGCCAATAAATATCTCCCATGGACTTAACTTGGTTCACTAATAGGGCAGTGGGAGGTTCTCGATAAGTGGTACAGTAGCCAGAAGGGAATTTACCTACAAATTGACCTGTGGCTCCATGTATTGTATTGCAAGTATAGTTACCTGGGTACTCCATCAGGTGGCTTGGTATTCCCTTGGGTTATTGGGTAAACCTTTTTCCATGACTCACACGCTGATGAGTTCACTGCTGACATAGAGGCTTAAGAGACACGTCTCAACATCGGGGGTAAATTTAAAGGCACGTACCCAGATGGGGCCTGGCCCCACCACAAACATAACTGTTAGTTTTGTTGTGAGAATTAGCATTATACCTCATCCATTCAAGCCATAGATTAGTGTCTGAAAACCCGATCTCCACAGCCATAGTGTCTTCAAATGTAGGATTGGCAATTGCCACCATGTCTTTAAGGGTTTTAATGTGTGGTTTTAGAGGGTTAATGGTCATGTGTGTGGAGCCTACCCAGTCAGGTGATGTAAGCATGTCTTGTAAATAGAAGGTCCCTAATTTGTTATGTGAGCCACCCCCTTTCTAATACATTCCCATCACGTACTCCCCCGCGTCTCTTGGGCTAGGATGTTCTATGTTTAAGGTGAGCTTCATTGGGGTAGACCCTGTCGGCTTACACAAGGTCATTCTGTATAATAAGGGTTTCCCATTTCTGTCAACTCTATCTAGAGCACTTTGTGGTCTGTAGACCCATGGTCGGCCCGTATTCCAACCTGCTGCTTTCCAGGTACTACAGTGATGTCCCCAATGCCCACCTGTCACACAAATATATGGGTCCTTTTTGTTTGGTATGTCTTTGAATATTGCTGAGTGTTGTGACTGTGGAAAAGTACAAGAAACAATATCACAGTAATCAAAGGTGTAAGTAGCTACGTGTGTGTTTGAAGAATTATACCAAAACGTGTAAACATGATCTTTGGTAATAGCAACTTGTTGGGCCTTTAAGAGGCCTAGCAGCAGATATAGGTACAGGAAACTTATGCTTCGGCAGGATCTGCTTCATCTGGATCAGGGATTTTCTTGCAGTGCGAGGCGTGTATCCAGGTATTCTTCCCAGTCAACTTTACAGAGGCAGATGTAGTCAATAGGACCTGGAATGGACCATCGAAGACTGTCCGGCCAGGGTAGGTTGGTTTCTTGGGACATTTTAAGCATTCTGGCTTTCAGAGTGCCATTCATGCGTTCTACCTTACCACTACTCTGTGGGTGATAGGGTGTGTGGAATGCAAGGGTCACCCCCAGTGCTGCCCAGATCTCCTTGGTTAGCAACGCGGTGAAGGATGTACCCTGGTCACTTTCAATTACTTCAGGGACTCCGTATCTGCAGATGATTTCGTTAAGTAGACGCTTTGCCGTGGTCTTCGCAGTAAGATTAGCGACCGGGAAAGCTTCTGGCCGTCCTGGAAACATATCCACTATGACCAGTGCGTATTCATACCGGCCACTTTTTGGCATTTGGATATGGTCAATTTGGATCCTCTGGAAAGGGTACTGTAGTTTGGCCAAATGGTTTGGTGCAGATTTGATTATTTTTCCTGGATTACATTTAGCGCATATAGCGCAGGATCTGCAGTAATTTCGTGTCAAGGTAGTGATTCCGGGTGCTTCAAAATATTTATCAATCATAGAGTTAATGAGGTGCTTAGATAAGTGGGCTGGTCCATGGGCCCACTGAACAACAGCTGGATACATATTCCTGGGTAGGCAGAATTTGAGATTGATTGTGTATACTTCATTCTGAAGGGTTGCTCCTTTGTCTTTCCAGCTTTGCTTTTCTTGTGGGGTGGCGGCGGCCTGTTGTTCCCTTAGGAGCTTGAGATCGGTGGGTAGGGTTTGCATGGTGTAAATAGGAGTCTTTTCGACAGACACTCTTCTGTCCACTTCCCGACATTGGCGCGCCGCATCCTTAGCGGCCTGGTCGGCTAAATGGTTGCCATGTGCTTCTTCTGAGTTTAGTTTCCCGTGGGCCTTTACCTTCAGTATGGCCACCTCTTCTGGAAGTAGTAAGGCATCCATCAATTCGTTGATAGCTGCGCCATGTTTCACAGGAGTACCTGTTGCTGTAAGGAACCCCTTGGTTTTCCAAATTAAGCCAAAATCGTGTGCCACTCTTAGGGCATACCTTGAGTCTGTATAAATATTGACACGCTTCCCTTCAGACATCTTGCATGCCACCGTAAGGGCTATTAGTTCGGCTTCTTGTGCTGACTTAGATGAGGGGAGTGAAGATGCTTGGAGTATTTGGTCCTCTGTGGTGACTGCATATCCGGTATGATATTGGCCCTGCTCATCTGCGAATCTAGAACCATCCACAAACAGAGTGTAATCAGGGTCCGTTAGAGCAGCCTCGTGCACTGTTGGAAGGTGGGTTATTTCCATTTTCATCTTTTCAAAACAATCATGGGGGGCGTCCGGGTCCAGTTCTGTAGGAGGAATGTCCTCACATATCTCTTTGTGGTATCAAGGGTAATCAATGGTTTTGCAATTTATGGGCCTCTTAGTGACCCCCGTCACTGTGAGTTGTTCTTGAGTTGCAATACTCCATATCTTGGCCATGAGGCAGAGTTCTTTCCATGAGAGATCTGGAGACTTGGTGAAAGAAACATGAGGAACAGCCACCTCCCAATGGTAATATAAATGTGATACCTCCATAGGCAGATAGACTAGGATAACAATGCTTCCTTTGGAGTCACAGAACAGGTCTGTCAGAGTGATGTGTATTTCCACCAGGCTGAATATTTCTTCTTCATAGTATGAGTCAGGACCTGGGGTGTCCCTGAACCACAGGGTGCAATGTAAGTGGCTCTCAGGCTGCTCATCATGTGGAACTGTGGGCTTTTCTACTTGAAGTTCCATGTGAACATCAGGATTTATGTCCAGGCTGTACCAGTATTGCGGCATTCCCCCATTGGGAAGTGGCAGAAGAGTGGCTGGATTCAAGGAGTAACATAGTTGTAAGGTGACATTATCGGGCAAAAAGAGGGAGGTTTGAAGTCGGAGATTTCGCTGAGAGGAGAGATGTTTGGCCTGGACTTGATTCAGGATTGCAGCGATATCATGAGGAGCAAGAACTGTCAGTTTATGTCCGAGAACAAAGTCATTAGTCTTGTCCAGTTGGGCACTTGCAGCAAAAACAGCACGCAAACAGGAAGGACCACCTCTGGCCACGGGGTCAAGCATGCAGGAGAAGTACCCAATAGGGCGCTGACGGGAACCATGGGATTGAGTAAGGACCCCTGAAGCATGGCCCATCTTCTCTGAGACGAAGAGTTTGAACGGCAGCTGGTAGTTTGGGAGGCCCAAAGCAGGGGCAGAGGAGATGGCTCTTTGAAGAGCATGGTAGCAAGAACAGGCAATAGGAGACAATGAAAAAGGTTCAGTCTTTAAAGCATCGTAGAGAGGTTGCATGAGTTGAAAAGCCTCAGGAATCAAAGATCTGCAGATCTGCATGTGATGAGGCCCAAGAAGGCATGAAGAGCTTGATGGTTAGATGGAAGGGAGAGATTTGTTATGGCAAGTATTCTGTTCCTTGTTAGGTGACGGGTGCCATGGGAAAGGCAATGTCCCAAGAAGACCACAGAGGGCCGGCACCACTGGAGTTTTGCTTTGGAGTCTTTACAACCTTCTTCAGCAAGGAAACAAAGGAGATCTACAGAATTCTGTTCGGCAGTTGGAAAATTATCTGCACAGAGAAGTAAATGATCAACTTACTGGAGCAGGACCACATCTGCGTGTGATTTCTGCCAGGGCTCTAGGACAGTTGACATAGCTTTGGTGAACTGGGTTGGTGAATTTTGTGCACCTTGAGACATAACAGTCCAAGTATACTGTTGACGATCATGTGTGAAGGTAAACAGATATTGCCAAGAGGGATCCAAGGGTACGCTGAAAAACGCATTTGCAAGATCAACCACCGTAAAGAATTTGGCGGTTGGAGGAACTTGTGACAACAATGTATGTGGATTAGGGACAACAGCAGTATCGCGATTTGTGACTTCATTAACAGCGCGGAGGTCTTGGACCATACGGTATTGATCAGGTTGGCCTTTTTCAGTTTTCTTCCTTACTGGAAATAAAGGAGTGTTACAAGGTGAGACACATTTGACCAGAGCACCTTTTGCCAACAGGCTATCAACTTGTTTGGAAATGGCGAGGGCTTGTGCAGGTTTCAAAGGATACTGTGGTCTTCGTGGTGGACTGGCTCCCTCAATTAGTGTAACTACCACAGGTGGGACTCGTAGGCGTCCGATGTCATCTGGGCCCGTAGATCAAAGCTTGGTTGGAACCCTATACAGGGCACTGGGAGCTTCTGGGACCCTTGCCTCCTCGGTGGGGGATGTCATGTCTAGTAGTAGAGGTAGAGAGCAAAGGACAGAAGTATCTTTGCGAGAAAGAGGGGTTAGTAATTGAAGCTGGCCAGCAGCAGTGAAGGAGATAGAAGCTTGAAGGCGAGACAGAACATCTGCCCCTAGAAGGTTAATTGGACATGTGGATGAAACAACGAACCGAGAGAGAATATCAGAACCAACTCGCAAGTGCTTAGTCAATGGATTATTTCTAGGGGTACCATCAATACCTACACAAACATCTGTGTCAGATAGAAAAGATGGGTCAGGCAGTTCTTGTTCTCTGAGAACACTGCGGGCTGCACCTGTGTCAACTAGAAAGGTAGTAGGATGACCCTCAACTGGAAGGACAACTGTAGCTAGAGGTCCCCCCTTGTCCCCTGTAGACACTGCCATGACAGGGGTGTTAGACACAGGTTTGCCAGTTACCTATTGTACCAGGTCTAGATGAGATTGATCAGGGCCAGTGTATTGACGTGCTGGTGTGGTGGAGTAGCTGGCCTGATGGATTTGACGTGTAGGGCGATAATGATTCGGTGCTGGGTGTTCATCTTGTTGGAAATCATCCGTATCGTAACTATCAGGGGAAGGGTGAGCATAGCTGCGTGGTGGGGGGTGAGTATTAGATTGAGAGGGTTGGTAGACAGCTTGGGCATATTCCTGAGGAGGGTAATACAATGCATGTGCCTGAGGATATACCAGTGGTGGGTAACCTGATTGGAGACCACCATACGTAGCCGTAGGGGCATTGGGGGTCTAGTGGTCGTCTGTCTAGTCACCCTGGGATGTGGGCAGTCTCTCCTAAATGGCCTGGTTGGTTGCAATTAAAGCATGCCCTGGTCTGAGACCTAGGTGCCATGAGCTGTCCCTGTGCAGTTGGCAGAGTGGATAGCGTGGGATAACCTGGAGGCACCTGGGCGGGTCTGGTGGTAGAGCTGGAAACAGAAAACATAAGAGGATTACTTTTCCTTTGGGGTGGCTGTAGAACAGATTCCAGACTCTTGGCAACTAGTAAGAGAGTGTCCAAAGGAATGATTCTGTATTCAGGGCGTGAGAGCACTAAGCCTTTCCTGCTGGCCTCTTTAAGGCCGGCAACAAAGGCAGCTGATAACATCTGCGTATGCACTTTATTATATACACTGAATCCTAGATCGAAGAAAGTTTGAGTCAACCGTGAATGATACTTTTCCACAGATTCGAGTTTGTCTTGTATAATATCATTAATACAAGTGGCTTGGTCAGCAAGTTTATCCTGGGCCCATGCCCGAAGCTGTTCACAGAATGTAATACCTGACTGGTAATCCATATCAGTAGTGAGTAGAGCGTCATTAAAGCTCCTTTCCATAATGGGCCAATAGGCATCCCCTGCCTTGATTTCACACAAACTATACAGATCACGCCATGGGTTGAATGTGACATACATCGGGGAAGCCCCGTCCACTAGTGGTAAAACAGGGTTTGCTTGTCTCTGAGAAACCCTATTATTTGAAGGGCGGAACGGGCTAAGCCCTTGAACATTGTCATCCTCGGGGGGAACCGAGAATGGGAGACCATGGTAGCTAGCAATATTTAGTGAATTAGGGGCTTGAGCAGCTGCAGCATCGGAGCCAGGAGTACCAACAGCGATGGCCTGGTGAGTAACTAACTGGGAGGTAGTGGGAGGGAAGCCTGACGCGGCAGGGGAAGCGCCTACAGCAGGGGGCTGTCCAGACACGATAGATTAATTAGACCCAATGATCATGATTGGGTAGCTGGGGGTGGTCATGGAAGAGGCAGGAGTAGGAGCCGGATTGGGTGAGGGGACGGGCTGATTGGGCTGAGGGAGATGAGCGGAGAGGGCGGAGATGAGTGACGAAAGGTCTAAGGAGGGAGGATTGGAGGCCGAAAGAGGAGAGGAAACTTGAACGGGGTCAGAAGGGGTGGCGGGGAGAGGAGGGAGAGGAGCAGTAATAGAGGGAATAGTAAGGGAAGCTGAGAGAGCGGAAATGAGTGGTGAGAGATCGAGGGAGGGAGGGACAACAGGAGTGGAGGTGGGAAGAAGAGAGGAATCTGGAACGGGGACAGAAGGGGAGACGGGGAGAGGAGATGGAGGAGCAGGAGTAGCGGGAATAGCAGGAGAGGCAGAAATGGCAGAAATGAGTGGCGAGAGATCGAGGGAGGGAGGGACAACAGGAGTGCAGGTGGGAAGAGGAGGGGAATCTGGAATGGGGACAGAAGGAGTGACGGGGAGAGGAGATGGAGGAGCAGGAGTAGAGGGAATAGCAAGAGAAGCAGAAAGGGTGGAAATGAGTGGCGAGAGATCGAGGGAGGGACAACAGGAGTGGAGGTGGGAAGAGGAGAAGAATCTGGAACCTGAAACGGGGACAGAAGGGATGACGGGGAGAGGAGATGGTGGAGCAGGAGTAGAGGGAATAGCAAGAGAGGGGGGGATACGGCAGAGTGAGATGCAACAGGGGGAACATCGAGTTAAGGCGAAAAGGGAACAGAAGTAGAGGGAACGACAGGGAGAGGAACTAGGGGAGGCAACATGTAAAGGTGGGAGGGGAGCGGGAATAGGAGGGATGACAGTGGGAGGTGGGAGAGGGGTGATGTCAGGGGAGGTGATGAAGGGAGGCAACTGAGAGACTGCATCAATGGCGACAACGGAAGGTGGAAGAGAGGCGGGATCAGAGGGAAGTGGGAGGGAAACCGGAGTAATGGGGAGTGTGGAAGCAGGGGGGAGGGGGACGGGATAATAATAGGAACCTTCCGCCCCGAGAACGGGGTACAGAGGGGTGGGAACAGGAGGGCTTATGACAATTGGAGGTGGTGACTGGGCGGTGACTGGGGAGACGGGACGAGATTCATTCACGATAGTCTGGGTGCCATCACAGGGCGGTGGCCGGGGAACATCAGGGGACGTTTCATCATTAAAAACATTTCTGTGATATACATAAATCTTTTGTCCTTCAAAATCCATTTCTTCCTCTGACCAACCCTCCCGATTGAGTCCTCTTAAGGACTAGAGGGAATAGCAAGAGAGGGGGGGATACGGCAGAGTGAGATGCAACAGGGGGAACATCGAGTTAAGGCGAAAAGGGAACAGAAGTAGAGGGAACGACAGGGAGAGGAACTAGAGGGGTGTTAGGGGAGGCAACATGTAAAGGTGGGAGGGGAGCGGGAATAGGAGGGATGACAGTGGGAGGTGGGAGAGGGGTGATGTCGGGGGAGGTGATGAAGGGAGGCAACTGAGGGACTGCATCAATGGCGACAACGGAAGGTGGAAGAGAGGCGGGATGGGAGGGAAACCGGAGTAATGGGGAGTGTGGAAGCAGGCGGGAGGGGGACGGGATAATAATAGGAACCTTCCGCCCCGAGAACGGGGTACAGAGGGGTGGGAACAGGAGGGCTTATGACAATTGGAGGTGGTGACTGGGCGGTGACTGGGGAGACGGGACGAGATTCATTCACGATAGTCTGGGTGCCATCACAGGGCGGTGGCCGGGGAACATCAGGGGACGTTTCATCATTACAAACATTTCTGTGATATACATAAATCTTTTATCCTTCAAAATCCATTTCTTCCTCTGACCAACCCTCCCGATTGAGTCCTCTTGTTACTCGATACCAAGCCTCCACAGCTTTTGTCAACCTACTATCCAAGAGCAAGCCCTCTTTATCAATAAGCAATTTCCTCCAAAACTCTGGCTGTAATCTACCACTAGGTGACATTTGAAAACCACACATTTTTGCTATCTTCTTTAACTTTAACATAGCCTCTCCTCCTGCTCTCTCCATAACAATATCACAAGCTAAATAGCCTTTAGAAGGTCTGGCATGTTCATGTCCCATTTGTACCAAACAAGGCTTCCCCTGTGAGAGGGACA